AAAATATTAGCCATTATCTCTCCAAGTACTGCCTTTCTTACATTCTTTTTGGGATTTTTGTTAGTTTTAACCTTCATAATCCTTACTGTTCCTTCATATTTTCCTTTTATCCCTTTGGGTAACACTCAATGAATTTTTTTCAGTTCATTAATTCTCCTTCCATCTGTTTACCCTGTCCATTGTGGGTTTTGATTTTAAGAATTCTGTTTCTCATTTTTTTAAGGGACTTTTGGGAAACCTGTTTTTATTAAAGCTGAAGATAACTGGTAGGTATGTATTTATCATAAATGCATATATGTTTGCTGAAAGATACAAATGTGGTCACACTGATACAAAACTAGAAGCAATCCAAATGTTCAACAGTTGAATGAATACATTTTGATATATTCATACAATGGAAATAATGAGAATATACAAAAGTGAAAATGAATAAGTCATTGCTGTACACAACTCCATGGAAGAACCTCATAAAAACACTACTGAATGAAAGAATCTAGACACCAGAATATATATCATATGATTCATTAATACAGGTTCAAAGTAGGAAGACCAGAGCTGTAGTATAAGGAATGTAGCAGAATTCTAAGATAGCCGGCAAGGTTCACTCCCACTGCTGTACATGCACTGTGTCACCCCCATCCTTTGACTATGGGTAGGACTTTGAATAACTTGATTTCTCTCTGTAATTAGGTTACATTAAATGGCAATGGTAAAGAAATTTTGCTGTTATAATTAAGGTTCCTAATCAGTTGAGTTTGGATTAATTAATTAAAAGGAAGATTATACTGGATGAACTTGACCTAATCAGATGAGCCCTTTCAAAAAGATTCTAGGCCCTCACTATTGATTTGAAGGTAGAGAAATCCTCCTGCTGGCCATAGAGAAGCAAGGGACCATTTTGTGAACTGTGGAGATGATCATGGCACAACAATCCAAGAAAGGCCTGTAGAAGGTGAGAATTACCCCCCAGCCGACAGCTAGAAAACAGTGACTTTAGTCCCATGACCATATGAAAAAGGATCCTGAGCCCCAGACGAGATCACAGTCATGACCAACACCTTTACTACAGTCTGGTGAGATTCTAGGCAGAGAATCCAGTTACCCACACTCCTGACCCAGAGACTATGAGACCACAAATTTGTGCTAATACCAATAAAGTTAGAGCCGTTAGCTACCCAGGAATAAAAAATTAATATGAACAGCCAGGCAGTAGTTTCCCTTGGTGAGTGAGAGGTGATGATTGGGAAGGAAATCTGATGGAGCTTCTAGAATGCTGGTAATGTTGTATTTCTTGATTTGGGTGTAGTCTAAATGGATGTTGACTTCATAAAAATCCATCAAGCTAGACACCTATGATATATACAGTCTATCAGGTATGTTCCACCTCAATACAAATTACATAAAAAGAAAAATGAAAACAATGGATACAGGCATTGGTATGTATTGTATTATTTTATACACAAAGTCATTTTGCTGTATGAATCACATACTACATCTACACATAGAATGATGTAATCATAAGGGATCATGTAATCATAGGGGATCTTAGCATGGTTGTATTTCTCTTACTCTTTTCCTGAGTTTTTTCAGTCCTGTCAGAATTTTTCTCTTTTTTTCCAGGCCTATTTTAATTTGTATTCCTTTTTCTTCCCAGTATGAGGGAAAAAGAAAAAAAAAAAAAAAAGAACTACAACTAAATTTTGGAATGGAATATTATCACTCCTATGTTTTAAAATACACTGTAGTTTTTTTTGCTTGCTTTTTTTTTTTCTTTTTGGTAAGCACAAATTAACACTAATGCATTTCCATGTCTCTATTTCTCATTTTTAAAAGTCCACTTCAATTTGTTCTTTCCAAACAGTATCTTTTTGTGAGCTTTATGTTAATTCTTTAAACATATCAAACATCCCACAATCTGAATATAACAATTCCACTCTTTATATCCCTTAGGTATCTGGTTTTTTGGTTTTGTTTTTTTTTTTCTTTTTTTTTCTGCACTCATTGATTGTAGCTTCTCGGTGATCAATAGTTTAGATAACTTTAATGTTAATTTTTTCATGTTAATGTTGCTACCTCACACAGATAGGCTGAATTAAATCCTACAACAGAGGGTAGCACAATTTATAATAGTAACAGATTATTACTATTTTTCTTTTCATTCAAGGTATGATAGTTTTTTTGCTGTTTCCCTTGGGCCAAATGATGTGGTTTTACAGGTCCTCTTTCTTCCTGCATTTAATAGTTCTTTCTCACCACAAAGAGAGCACCTCCCCCCCTGCAGGCTCCGGGCCACAGTTACTGCCCACCAGCACACCAAATCCACTTTTCACCTAGCACTGCTTTCTCGTTTGCAGAATGCAGGTATTCCCCTGTCTTTAATTACTGTTATTAGTCTGCTAGGGCCACTATGACAAATACCACAGGTTGGGTGGCTTCAACAACGTGAATTTATTTTCTCACAATTCTGGAGGCTGAAGTCCAAGTGTGAAGAGTCAGCAGGCTGGGTTTCTTCTGCAGTCTCTCCTCTTGGCTTGTAGAGAGCTGCCTTCCCATAGCTGAAGGTGCATTTGACCCTCCTCTTCCCCCTCACCACCTCATCCCCAAGGCCTCTCCCTCCTCCTCCCCTACTCATCCTTTATTTAGCACTTAGGCCCTGTGAAGCCCTGTGCCAAGTGCTTTGTGAGGGTTCTCTCACTTACTGGTCTTAAGGCTTTCCCAGGTGAGTACCGTGAGGGGCTCCTTTTTATAGGTAAGGAAACCTGGCCAGAGAGGCTGGGTCATTTTCTGACGTCACACAGCCAATACAGGGTGCAGCTGGTATTTTAGCACTGGAGATGCACGAGCAGGCACAGCACACATCCACACGCCCACTGGCAGAAGGTAATGTAACATAGAGCAGATATATACATCAAGGAAGGCTCCGATGCTAACTCCAAAATCACCTCACAGAGGGAAGTAGGCCATGCAGAAACGCGTCTCATGTGGTTTCCTTCTGTGTGCAGACATCCCTGGTGTCTCCGTATGTTCTCATCTCTTCTTGTAAGGAGGCCAGTCAGACTGGATCAGGGCCCACCCTGATGATCTCCTTTAACCTTAATTACCTTCTTGAGGTTCATCTCCAAATACACTCACCTTCTGAGGTTCTGGGGGTTAGCACCTCAACATATGAATTTGGGGGGGACACAATTTAATCCATTAACAGCTATGCAATTGAAGTCTGGGGGTCATTTATGTAGCATTTCTATGTTTTTTAATCTATGTTGATAGAAGTCTTCTATAGGAATTTTTTTTTTTAAGATTTATTTGACAGACAGAGATCACAAGTAGTCAGAGAGGCAGGCAGAGAGAGAGGAGGAAGCAGGCTCCCCGCCGAGCAGAGAGCCCGATGTGGGGCTCTATCCCAGGATTCTGGGATCATGACCTGAGCCGAAGGCAGAGGCTTTAACCCGCTGAGCCACCCAGGCGCCCTTCTATAGGAATTTCAAAGTGTTTCGAACATTATCTGAAAATACTCAGGACCCCATTCTCCAAAATTATAACTAAAACCCACAATAAAGTTCTAAGTTTTTTAACTTTTTTTTTTTTTAATTGTAACATTTCAGGTGACTATTTCTGGGAAGGGGTATATATTTACAGATATTAGATTCAAGTAAATATGAATTTAGATATCTTTACTGCTGAAAGCAATATCAGCAAACTGAAAGAAAGCATTTGGGAATCAGATCTGTGGCTGAGTGCTGCCATACTGGCTTAACCCTTTAACTACTGTGCTTCTTTGAACAAGTTATCTGATCTTTCTGAACATCAAAGGAGAGTAATTCCACTCTTTCTATGCATTGTCCTAAGCATTAAATAATAATGCAATTTAAAACAATAGTTCTAAAATTTGGCACACTACTTAAGGAACACTGGGAAGCACATTTTAAAAGATGCCATTTTTAGGTCTGTTCAGCAGAGGAGTCCATGGGTCTATGGTCAGGCTTAGGAATTTATTATTTTCAAAAGCTTCTCCAGTTGATTCTGTGGCCCAGTTATTATTGTTATTTTTTTTTTTTTAGATTTTATTTATTTATTTGACGGAGAGAGAGACAGCAAGAGAGGGAACACAAGCAGGGGGGGTGGGAGAGAGAGAAGCAGGCTGCCCACCCAGCAGAGAGCTCGATATAGGGGATTTGGGGCTAGATCCCAGAACTCTGGGATCATGACCCGAGCCCAAGGCAGACACTCAACAACTGAGCCACCCAGGCACTCCTAGCCCAGTTAAAAATAAATTCTAGATTCTGCTCACTTTGACCCTACACATATAGGCAAGAAGAAAACAGAAATATATGATAAAGGATAAAAGCCAGGAAAAATATGACCAGGGAGAAACATGGAGGCAGAAGGCATTTTAAATAATAGAAATAGAATGGAAACAATGAGCAACTGAAAGTAAATTAATTTTTAAATGAAAACATTTTACAAATAAACAAGTCATATGTTATCATTGTGCAAATGCTACCATAAAAGAGCAAAGTCCCCTGTTCCCTCCTGCCATGTATTGTCTGAGACGTCCGTATGTTCACATACACACATACCCTCTCTGCTGGGTTTCAAAATTATACACACATGTATACAACAGTATTAAACTGTTCCGTAATTTTTTTTTTCACTTAATGGTATATTAAGAACACCTTCAGAACTGACTCATGTTTAGTGGCTGGATACATCACTCCTGTTCAGATTTTATATATAAAATGCAAATAATATATATCATACATGCATTTACTAGCACTTATGCAACTATTTCCATAGGAGTGATTATCTACCTACCTATGCTGTGTTCTTCCCACCTTTTTCTTTCTTTTTTTTTTTTAAAGGTTTTATTTATTTATTTGACACAGAGAGGTCACAAGGAGGCAGAGAGGCAGGCAGAGAGAGGGGGAAGCAGGCTCCCCGCTGTGTAGAGAGCCCGATGTGGGGCTTGATACCAGGATCCTGAGATCATGATCTGAGCCAAAGGCAGAGGCTTAGCCCACTGAGCCACCCAGGCGCCCCTCTTCCCACCTTTTTCTATATAACCTGACAATTCCACTTGTTAACCAAGAAATGACTTCAGTTTCAAAATATGCCAAATACATTCAGCTTCTCCCTCTCTCTATATTCATATATATATTCAATATAATAACTATTATCAACATATACATATCCAGCATAATACACAGCACACGCTGTAAGTCAGGACTTGGTGAACTTCAGGACCGAGAGCAGTTCTTGGCCTGCTGGCCTGGAAAGTGCAATAGTCCCTCGTAGACCTCTTGTTGTCATTGCTTCCAAAATTTCTTCTAGAATAAAAATTAATACAAAAGGTAAAATCAAAATCATCTGGTGAAGAGTGTATGATCATTAAACAGTTCAGTAAGATTGTAAATGCAGACTATTTACAAATTCTATTCATCTGAGAAAATAATGTATACCAAGTAAATTTCTATTGAGATGGACTTTGGTCAAATGGAAGCACCTGCATTTTCAAGGTATCATGGAGAACTCTAATCAGACCGAACCGCCTTGCTTTGTAGCGGTGGCTACTCTGGATTCAAACGTTAATTACATTTGTTGTTATAGCAAATAATTAGTTCGCTCCCATCCTGGCCTTCCACACTTCATTTGGGATGAAAAAAGTCAATGAAAGCGGGGCAAACTGTACAGTGACACTAAACAGTGCAAGTAAATGAAGTGGCTTATTTCTTTCAGGCATACTGAAAAAGGCAACACCTTCCCTTTTGTAAGTAAGTCAGAGTAAAAAGGCTGAATTAAGAAAATGGAGTTACAAACAAAGGAACACTTAATAATCATGATGTGATTTGGGGGGCTAAGGATATAAGGTATAAGATGAAAATCAAACTTCTGTAGTGAAAGAGAAGAAAGATTATGGTCAATTTAGTTATGGAGTCATCTGAAAACCAAGATCTAAAAATCCATCCCATGAGCCATATCCATGACAAAACCTCACACGAACTGAAGAGTCCGTAGCAGAATTGTTAAGGGCATGAAGACTACAATATGGAGGGAGAAGACCGCAATGTGGACAGAATATTCATAATATTCAGGGTGAGGTGTTAAAAGAGGATATTACAGATTTTGTGTTTGAATTATGAGTTTATTAGTTAGGGGAAAAACTGTCCTCCCCCCTTAAAAATATTGTACTTTCTAAAACAAGAAAAAACATCTTAAAAATCTCTCTCTTCTTTCAATATGAGTGTTATGTTTGTGTGAGCTGTTGTCAGTGATTCTATTTATAGCATCTCGGGTTACTTTATAGTCTTTAACATTATTAACTTTTGCTTTCAACAAAGTAAGTGGCTAAAGATAAACTGGTCTGGATTACCAGGATTGTTTTCTTTGATGGTAACTAGATAGAAAAATCCTCTTGGTGACAGAAGATCTGCAGCCAGTGGGAAAAATCGGTCCATGACTTCCCGACCATTTCTGCCACCAGCCCAAGCTGCTTCTACTCCATGACTTCCTACCTGTAACCATTTAGAAAAGACTGTTTTGTTTTGATTCAAGTTACATTTAGAATCACACACAGAATCTTTCTGACAAGTAACATTCACCAAACAAGTACATACTTTGTATTTTACTGCTGTCCAGGAGGCAGAAAAGTTGAACCTGAGCCCCACCATTTCCTAGCCCTGTGACCTTATGTAAGTTTGTCATTTTTGTGAATTAGTTTTCTCCCTTATCTGTAAAATCAGAAAAGCAATAGTTTCAACTGTAAAAGTAGAAAAATGATAACAAATTAATTTCTTCCATTGCTAGAATCATGGAGGAACTATATTTTAAGTTTGAAAACACTGTTCTGCACGTATCAAGTGCTTAGTAATAGTTGTTACTATTTGTGCAGTGTTTATATTGATAGACATAAGTGATTCTTATACTTACTACAGAAGAATCAGGAAGAAACTAAAAGGGAGCTCCTACATTATAAGAGATCTACTTTGCAGGAAGTTAGTTTCAACATGTCCCGCTCAATCTGGCTCTCTTCTAGATTAAAGTATGAATTGTATAGACCTTTTTAAGGAACCATTTAATACATAAAGGCTCACCAAAGCATTTCTTCATGTAACAATCTAATTATATCATAGAAGCAAAACCCATGAGATTTCATGAGGTCTTAAAATTTTTTTTTTTAAAGATTTTATTTATTTATTTGACAGAGATCACAAGCAGGCAGAGAAGCAGGTAGAGAGAGAGAGAGAGGGAAGCAGGTTCCCTGCCGAGCAGAGAGCCCGATGCGGGGCTCGATCCCAGGACCCTGGGATCATGACCTGAGCTGAAGGCAGAGGCTTTAACCCACTGAGCCACCCAGGCGCCCCGGTCTTAAAAATTTTTAGATTTTTATCATTGTATCTTGTTTTCAAAACTAAAGAATATTTTGAAGAAACCATTCAAAAACTATTTTAACCCTAACAATTATTTTCTTTCTATATCTTTCACTGGTTTTGTCCGTAGTTTAGTTTAAATTAGTTGTATACAATCATGCTTACTGTTTTTATTCATTTAAATGGCATACATTTCTTCACTAATGTAAATTTCTTTATACCTATACTATCTTATAAGAGAAATACATTCATTATACCTGCTTTAAAAAAAACTGCACTTTCCCTTTTTTTTGCTGTTTTGCTTGTCTGCTCCTTCCCGATCTCTCTCTCTCTCTCTCTCTCTCTCTCTCACACACACACACACAGTTTTTTCTTTTTTGTCCATGTTTTACAAAGACAGAATTATATTCTGTATTTTTACCCCATTATCTTGCTTTTCTCATTCAACAATACCTTCAGTTGAGCTCTTCATATGATCAGGTATGGTTCTGATTTACTCTTTTAATGGCTGCCTAAGATTTTATAATGCAAAAGTATCCTGTCTTATGTAGCTATTGATGAGCGCCTGATGCATTCAATTGCTAAAATTTTTTTGCATCTAAGTTTTTTAAAAGATTCATTTATTTGTTTTAGAGAGAGAGCAATGGAGCAGAGAAGGGGCAGAGGGAGATAATATCCAAGTAGCCTCCTGCTGAGGGCTGAGTCCCATGTGGGCTTAACTGCACCACCCATGACATTAGGACCTGAGCCGAAACCAAGAGTTGGACACTTAAGCAACTGAGCCACCCAGGTGCCCCTTTTCGTATATAATTTATATTATTCCCATATCTATCATAAATGTCCTGATACAATTTCCCACAAATTATGTTAGGAAACTTATCAGTTCCTCTGTTTTCTGTCAAGACTTTCCTCCTAGAGACTTCTCTTTCCTGGCATTCCTAGAATTACTTCTTTTTCTGGGGCTCTTGTCTTCCTTTTCCTTGGTTTACCCTTGTATTTTGGTGGAGCCCATTCTATGGATGTTTCATCAGGTAAAATGGTCTGTGGACAGACACACTGGATGGTGATAAGCCTGTCTCTCGTTATTCTCAACTAGGACCCCTCTGTGCTAGACCCTGTTTATTTGCCTCCCCAGGGATGCTCAGCCAGGTTTATCTGCTTGCATTAGAAATGACCCTATGGGAAGATCTCTTGGCACCAAGCCCATTCTTACAGACCACAGAAGGAGTGTTTCCATCTTTCCAGGGAGGAGTCATGCTTGGTGGTCTACTGCTTGCCTGCTACCTGAGGCTTGCTGGGCCTGCTCTTGATCCTTCATGGCTCACGGGCACACACCAGGAGTACTTCAGCTCCTGTTTCTAGATATACCAGTAAGTACAGCCACAATTGGTTAGATGCACTAACTCCCATTATTTTTATATTATGTCTCCTGGATCTAAACTCTAAGTCTCTTATCTTTTGCCTTCATGATTTCCTTCTTTTTATCTTTATGTGCTGTGCACTAAAATCTTTCATTTGGTTTCCAGAACACCGATTAGGTCTTGACAGAGACCAGATCCTCTTTTAATTCATTTCCTAATGTTTTATTTTGTAAAACATGTTTTTAAAGCTTAAGGAAATCTTCATTATCCTACACTTTGATTCTGCTGTCCAGCTAACTGCTCAGCTCATGGGAATTAGGACACTTGCTCTCGCTGTTGGGACTGTGAAAGAGCAGAGGTCCTGCCTCCTCTCAATCAACATGTTCCAGCAGCTCAGGAGAAGCAAGTATGCAGCTTAGTAGTGGAAATGCGGGAGAACGGAAGCCCATTCGTGTCCCCATATTCCCAGAATCTCCTCTTCATTCACTAGTCTTGCCAGAAGTTTATAGATCTGATAGACCATGATTTACTTAACTGCATTTCCTCTGTTACATATATAGGTTCATATTATTTGCTATCATAAATAAACATGCAATAAGCATATTTTTGTGAACATCAACTTTTATTCTACTGTTGAATGATTTCTTTCTTTTTTTTTTTTTTTAAAGATTTACTTACTTATTTGTGAGAGAGAAAGACAGCAAGAGAGAGTGCACAAGCAGGGGGAGCGGGAGGCAGAGGGAGAAGCCACCGAGCAAGGAGTCCGACACAAGACTCCATCCCAGAGTCCTGGGATCACAAACAGAGCCAAAGGCAAAGGCTCAAACGACTGAGCCACCGAGGCGTCCCTTGAATGATTTTAAATTATATCTCAAGGACTGAAATTATTGGACTGAAACATTTTTATCATTCTTGAGATTTATTCACACAGTCCCTTCCTAAAGAGTTGTACTAAGTTGCATTGGCCTCAACCTCTGTTAACCTTGTAACAATGACTTTCCTTCTCATAGGCGTTCCTAGTCAGAGGAGCAAGAAGTTCTCAGTTGCTTAGCTGCCCTTAGTAGTAATAGCAGCGACACAGACTTTGCCATCTTGGCAGAGGACAATGTAATGTTTATCAGCCTTGCCATGATTCATTGATGAATAAAACAGGATCATGAAAAATTCAAGGAAAGCTGGCCTTAGTTCATTATTAAACTTTGTCAGCCTTGACCATTCTCTCTTTAAATTCAGATATGATTTACCTCTTCATTATTGAGATTTTCCAAATCATATATTTCAAGATGTTTCTTTTCCCTACCTGAAATAAGAATCAGCGCCCCCACACCTGTGAAAGGAGGAAATTGTTGACTTTCAGAAAGAATTCCTATAATGAATTTAAGGATGATTAAAAATATTGTTTTGCAAATTTGCCATTCATGATAAAGGGGACACACACACAAATTTAAACATATGACTTGATTTTGATAGGCATTTTAAGGATGAATATGGGTCACTGTATTTCCATTCGTTTGAGATTCCTTTCCTATGTCTACCAACATACCTGATTATTGACCATTATGAGTAATATCAGACCAGTTTGTATTAATCAGCAGCTGACTAATGTCATATAATGAGTTCCTTTGATTTTATAAGGAAAATACCTGAAAATATTAATAATTAAATCTTGTTACCCATCTTACCTCTTCAGGTGGAGTCACTACATAGGGGGGATTAAACACCAGAAGATCAACTTTTTCCTTCAATCTTGGTAATAAGCCTTTGACCTAAATGTTTTAATAGTCAGAATTTTAAACTGGACTCAGAATTAAAATAGATAAATACATAAATCTTTAAAAATACTTTCTTCCCATGTTTTTAGAGAAAAATGTGTTAGAGGACTAAAATTATAGATAGAGATAAATATTTTTATATTTTCTTCAGATATAGGTTATATGCATTTACCTAAAAACAGGAAATTAAACTATTTATCAGAATGAACATAAAATGTACAAAAAGCCTCTGCTTTTCAACAGCTCACATGTTTACACTCTGGGTTCACTTTTGGAAGATTAAATTAAGGAAGCAAGCTCTCCTATGTTCTATATAGATATACATATGCTTTTAACCTATTGCTCTAACTTAAACATTTATTTTCTGTAACCAAGAGAAATGTTTTATGAGATAACAAAAAAACATGAGAAAATGCATATGTATAAAAATAGATATACATATATGTGCATATATATATATATATATTTGCTTTCTACTTTATTCATAAAATAAAGATATGTAAATAAATGTATTGGCTGGAACAATTAGGTATCAAAGAGAGGACTGAAAAAAGTAGAAGAGACACTGAAAATCTCAGTTGTTGGGCATTTTGTAAATCTTATAAACCACTGGGTGCAATTTTCTGTGAACCCACAACAAAAATGTCTTTTTAAACAAAGTGCTTTCAGGGCACAATGCCATTTAAAGTATTCCTTTGGTTCCTCTGATGACTGAATTACATACATACTCACAAAACCATGTCTCGTCATGCCACCCTGCACTGTCCCAGGCACAGTATGTGGATAGGCTCTCACCCCTAAAGCCATTTCCTTCAATTGTCACTTTGTACAGACTCTCATCCATGAATTCTGAAGCTGTTTCTTTCTTTTTTTTTTTTTTTAGATTTACTTATTTGAGAGAAAGAGACAGAAAGAGTGCGCGCACGTGCACACATGCCTGAACAGGGCAGAGGAAGAGGAAGCAGAGTCCCCGCTGAGCACAGAGCCTGAAGTGGAGCTCCATCCCACAGACCCTGAGATCCTGACCTGAGTTGAAATTAAGAGTCGGTCACCGAGCAACTGCGCTTAACCAACTGCGCCAACCAGGCATCCCCTGAGGCTGTTTCTTGAGATGGAATAGCTGAAGTACTTCAAGGCAGGGTCAGAAGTGTCAGGTATTTGGTTAACATTCTTACAATTCTCCCATATAGGCACAGAGACCTACCATTATTCACTAAATATTTTTCTTTAAATGGACCTTTTTTTTTTTTTTTTGTTAAATAAATTTGCTCTAAAGGGAAATCAGTATTACTTCCTGGAAACAGAAATGACTACAAGGATAAATGGGATATAAATTTTAAAAATGTCATGGTTATAGTTACTGCTTCCAGTCTGAGTGTGACACAGGCCTTCTGCCTCTTTGTTAGAGGCATTTGGGGGGGCGCCTGGGTGGCTCAGTCAGTTAAGCATCTGCCTTCAGCTCAGGTCATGATTCCAGAGTCCTGGAACCGAGTCCCACATGGAGTCCCACATGGAGTCCCACATGGAGCTCCACATGAAGTACCCCCACCCCCACCTGCTCACTGTGGGGGAGGCTGCTAAGCAGGGAGCCTGCTTGTCCCTCTCCTCCTTCTGTCCTGCTTGTGCTCTCTCTCACAGTCTGTCTTTCACATAAATAATAAATACATAAATATGTAAATATGAGACTGACACACTACCTACTGCACTAACGAGCCACCTCATAAATATGTAAATAAATAAAATCTTTGAGAGAGAGGGAAAAAAAGAGACATTTGCAAGTGTTTAAAAGGTGTTAAAACTGAGAACTTCTCCCAGATGTAATCAAAATAGCTGAAGGAGGATTAGAGAGGAAAGAGCTTTTACATCATGTGATTCAAAGTTATTTAACACTCAGTCATACCGTCTCAGTACTGGGCACATCACTGGGCTATTTACACACAGTGTGAAACACTGCCTTACAACTTCCATTTTATCCCGGTTTCTAAAAGCATTTCTGTTTGTTGTCTTAATAGGCCTGTTAACTATAAAGTTCAAAGAGAACACATGAATAGTATCTTTGAGGAGGTGTTACAGAGGTACCTCTTCTTTCTCCTATTCATTTAAAAAGTGAAAAGTAACATTTTTGAGGGACGTGATTCAGGAATACCTTTGTCTGCAAGTAGGAAGATGACTAGTTATCTGCTGTTCCTTTTGGTAGTGATACTGCAGCATGAGGAAATACATTTGAAATAACCAATTTTCAATTACATAAAGAAATTAAGTTTCTCACATTGTAAAAAAAAAAAAAAAAAAGTCCAAAAGGTAATTTTCCAGAAATGTTGAGAAGGGAAACTAAAAAAGAATTTGCTTTGTAATTGTTTATAATGGCTCTGAGGTGGGGGCGCCTGGGTGGCTCAGTCATTAAGCGGCTGCCTTCGGCTCAGGTCATGATCCCAAAGTCCTGGGAATGAACCCCACATCGGGCTCCCTCCTCAGCGGAGAGCCTGCTTCTCCTTCTCCCTCTGTCTGCTGCTCTGCCTACTTGTGCTCTCTATCTCTCTGTCAAATAAATAAATAAAATCTTAAAAAAAAAAATGGTTCTGAGGTACTATATATTAATAATCATTGCAGTATGGGTTTTAAATAAAGGAAAAAATTGCTACTAAAATACAGAAAATTATGTAGTTTAAAAAGGAATGGATGACCCTCTGGCTCTCTTTCCCATTAGATCTGAACGCTGGTCTTGGTGGTCGTGAAAGGAGGAAAAGGAGCACTGAAGCTGGCCTCGTGGTGCTTATAGTCTGGTGTATAGGCTGTGGGCTAGTTTCAAACAGGGTTTGAATTCTCTTTGAACTGGTTTCCTCCTTCCCACTAAACTGGGATAATCTTCGGCTTAAAGGGAGGATGTATGTGAAGCTCTGGGAGTTGTAGTGGTGGCTGACTTAGTACTTCTGTATTTGATAAATACCCATGGTTCTCTTGTAAAACAAAACAAAACAAAAGGAAATGGATTTATTATTTTTTTAAAGATTTATTTATTTATTTATTTATTTGACAGAGAGATCACAAGTACACAGAGAGGCAGGCAGAGAGAGAGAGGAGGAAGCAGGTTCCCTGCTGAGCAGAGAGCCCGACGTGGGGCTCGATCCCAGGATGCCGAGATCATGACCCGAGCCGAAGGCAGAGGCTCAACCCACTGAGCCACCCAGGCGCCCCAAAGGAAATGGATTTAAATGAGAAAGTCACTGTAGACTGGATACGAGGTCTAATCACACACACCCCTCATCCATCCACATTCAGCTTTTGGGTGGTCTCAGAGCATTAGAACAGATCTAAAAATGGGGAAGTAAGCAAAAAAGGCCTCTGACAAGAAGTTTTAAATTCAAACAGCAAAATGTACTTTATTTATATGAGAGGCTCTTATTTAGAGCCCCTGAACTCTTAGCTTAAATACAAGTTTAACTAAATCACTTGTTTGGTATTCTAGCAAACAGCACATGGAAAGAGAGAGTGGAAATGCCACGAACAGGTAACAGTAAAATAAGACAACATAAAGCAAGAGAAAAGAGACAAAGAGGAGAGGAAATGAAAACTCAAAATCACTGCAGGCTCTAGCTACTCAGTGTAAGGCAGAAAGCCCTGAGTAATCCTCATCACAGCTAGCACAGAATAGTAACTAATGCTCATTTTAATGACCCTAAATCAATCAAAGATAAAGTTATGTTTAGTTTGTTTTAGGAATGTCAGGAAAGCCATATGACATATCTGAAAAAAGTCTTTTTTCTAAAACTAAAAAAGAAGCAAAATAAAAGTACTGCTTTGTAAACAGGTAAGCTTAGTTATCTGAAACAATGATTTTGATCATGGCTGTGATCATCTATGCCTAGTGTTCTGAATATTAAACAAACACAGAGTTTTGTAAGTGGATCATAATCTATGCTAATGCCTCCTTCTTCCTTCTTTCTTTGTCAGCATTCAGGGTCACCATCACCTCGAACCACCGAAAGAGTTGACTGGCATGGACTACCATGAGCCATGTCCTGAAACAGCTGTGAGACTTCTAGATTTAGACTCAATGGTCTGGCCTTAAATTCTGTAATTATCACTCTCTTAGTTACATGACTTTAAAAAATGAACCTCACCTCAGTTTCTACCTCTGTTAAAAATATATATATTCTGAATTTCTTATTTATCTAAAGTCTTATCATACCAAAACCATATATTTAACACTAATCATGGACACAATAAAGAAATAAGTTAAAATTTTAAAGGGCAAAACCTTCACAGTGATCCCATGTAAATCACCTGAGTACCTTTCTTGATAATCTAGTTTTTAATAGCAGTAACAAGTTCTAATAGGTAAGAATTTCTTACATATTTGGCTTAATTCCTTCTAAACTGAAAAATCACTTCTGAGTTTAAAAAAGCAGAAAAGCTAAATACTCTTAACGCTAAGAATACACGTCAAGAAGCATGGAAAGCATTTTTATTTCTTATCCCTATCTGGTACATGGTGTTAAGATTTTTTGCTTACAAAAAAGCACTTATAACAACAACAAATACCCAAAATTATCCAAGTCTTACTAATTAAAATATTAAAGGAAAACTACGACTGGGAAATATATGTGTAACTTAAAATGATGGTTCTGTAATTGTGATGTGTTTTTTTACCTGTCCAGGCCTCATTCCCCTCTTCCTTCTGATTTCACCTCCTTGATCTCTAATGGGTAAATTCTCTATCCTCTCATTCTCAATCCATTTAGCTTGGGTTGGGCTTATCCCAATGCAGCTGTCGGGGTGGGACTATGACTCAGGCCTAAACCAGTCATCTGCATATTTCAATCCCCTTTGGCCACAATGAGAGATTTTGAGATGGCATATGATCCAAGACGATCCAAGCAATACTCACTCTGGGGCTTGTAAGACAAACTAAATAGAAAGAGATTCTTTCCATGGAAGGATAAGGGAGGTGTTTGCTGAGAAGTGAGAAATAGACATGCAAGTATCTTCTTACCAAGAAGAAAAAGACTACCTAGAAATAGAGCCAACAGAGAAGTTCAGAGCTAAGAAAAAGATGCCTGTCATATCATTTGAGTTCCTGGAGCCAGCTGTGCCTGAAGCCACACACTTTACTTAAGCCAGTTTAAACTGGATTCTCTGTCACTTCTGACCAAAAGATGACTGATCCTTCCAAGACAGTAGAAATTTCCTTTGAATTCTGGACAAGATGAATTACATCAGTTAAGAATTTACTTTGTAAATTATGGGGTATACTATTTAGTGGATTAAAAGTTAATTAATTTATCACTCAAGCTTCTTTGACCTAATCATCTTAACCTTAACTTATTTGAGAAGGAAATTAACTATTATTGGACAAGGATGATTAGCTCACCAAGTCTGTAATTACTGGCTGAATGTGGACTTTGTTACAGTGTGCTGTCTCCAGAGTGCAAGCTGCTGCTTCAGGGTTGATATCAGTGCACCTAGAAACAGAAAGAAAGAAAACTGTATTTTACGACCATGAGGCAACCTATTACTGAAAAATTTTAAAGTGTTACACTGCTTTTTTACAAAGCAGATTTAGAAAAAAGTGAAAATGCTTTAATAATGGTGAAGGAAAAAGAAATAAGATGTTAAATTAATGAAAAAGATTGTTATATTGATATAATGTGCAAGAGTAGAAACTACACATACATGCGTACACATCTGAAGGAATTAAATTATGAATCTAATGTATACTATGCCACCACAAAAATGAAATTTAAAAGGAATTTTTGAAAAATAGTCATGATACAATATTAAAAACATAGGAAATGGGAAAAAAAGAAAGAAACACACTTGGACCATGTGTGGTAGAACTGGAAGTGATTTTTATTTTCTTCTTTAAACTTTCCATATTCTTAAATTTTCTTGAAAAATTAAGTAATTTTCAATTTTTTCTGGTAATCGTTGCCTAAAAAATTTCAAATTTAGAAATACCCTAAAAATTATTTTGTTGCTTCTATAATTATGTAGTATGGTGGAACAGTTTTGGACATGCAGTTAAAATGTTTAGGGAAGAATAATTTATAATCTGAGTCCTTACTACACTTAAGTAGACCCTTTCAGATATATATCATTCATTTACAAAATATATATATATACCATTCATTTATAAAAATGATTTCATTAGGGCAGTCATATCCCTAGTGAATTTCTTAGTGGAAGATGGGGATGAATTTGATATACTTACATGTATAAAGCTTGAGGACCTATCATAGAGGCTAGGAATGCAGATACCACTCCAGACCCTGATCCAACTTCAAGGCATATTTCCACTCTAAAAAAGCAAAATAAAATAAATGAGTAGAGTAGGATAAAAATATACATCACAGAAAATGATGCTCAATCTACTTTTAATGTGTATTTCTCCAGCATCACTCATCTGCAAATATATGGAAATACAAAAGAAATTTATAAACACACTAATTTCTGACAACCACTTTGTGCTCATTTAACACTGTTTAACTCAGAATTGTTTGAGGTGTGCAATTAAAGTCCATAAAATAGATGGCTTCCAATTAATTACTACAAAACATTACATAAAACTATGGAATAAGGTTGAGGGTTGAAAATATTAATATGAAAAACATCAACCCTTCTCACAAGGGTTTAGTAGTTTAGTACTTTCCTAAAATGATAGGGTAGTTATTATACTATGTATTTATGATGTTTTCTCTATCATTTAAAAGTACATAACATTCACAAATCCATTAGCATATCCTAGGGGAAAAAAAATTCCCCCTTTCTCTTAATAGATTTAGAACAGGAAGGAAAGTTGTTGTCTGTACAGCTGTACACTGAACTGAGAAAATCTCACAGAATCTGATCTTAGAATATTAATATAATTTTAAAATGCTTTTGAATAAATTCTTTATTACACTCTATTTTATCCTTCAATTCAATTTACTTCCGTGCCTATAATCTACATATGCATCAAAAGCACTAATTTTCTCCATCACAGAAATGGGTTTAATGGGATTTAGGTCTTGCTGGCTACTAAGGCCTCAAACAACTATCCAAAAATAAACTCTAGCAGCTTCTAATTTTTGGAATCAATCCACATTATCTGACAAAACTTTATTATTCTGTGGGAAGGTCTGTTGAACCTTACCAGGAGGCTTTTATTTGAAAATAACTATCAGGCTTTCATAAACAGAATCCCAGGAACAGAAATAGATTAATCTGACTTTATAACAAAATCATCTCCTTTCACAGCATACTTTGCAATGCAATTTGTGCTTGTAAATCTTTCTGGGGTATCTTTAGACTACAAGGCAAATTTACAAAAAGAAATATACCGTTCTACATTCCAGTAAACCCCAAAGTTCCATCGTTTACAATGAAAAGTTGGTTTAATAAGCGTTGGGGCATTTTATATATGGAAAAATCTGACCAGGTTTAAGAGAGGTAAACACAATACAGAAATACAGATCTATGAAGCCTGACTGCTGTTTCATCTTGAGATAACCAATTTCAAGTCTTGATCTTTAAATAAATCTAATTACTCAAATTCCTTTCACTAAAAAAATAACAATGCAGGTACTCATTCTTTTAATGTCATTTAAAATTTATGGGGGGGCACTTCAACAAGTCAATTTTATTATTTACAAAGTGCTAGGGAAAATTCCATAGGCTGCTAGCTCTGCAGCTATTTAAAATTTTAAGTTAAATGAAAAATTAACGCTCTGCAAGTCGCACTAGCCACGTCTCAAGGGTTTGGTAGCCACACGTGGCGAACTGGCTAGTGGTTCAGGGCAGAATATGCTGTTCAGCGGGTTTCAAAATACTTATCCACGCCACGATCTCACAACCTCACTTCATTTTTGTGCCCTTCCCTTACTATAGGGTGCTTTTGTACACTGAGTAAATTAAATGCCACCTTTTAATATTGACGAAAAAATTTTATATTAATAAGCCACGTTTTCGGAATATTTGGTTTTTGAACGTGTTATCACATCACTGCTCTCGGGGGCTTGTGGAAAAGATACACGCTAGCGTAGTAAGGAGCTGTGGAGCTCCTGGGACCAAAGCAACACCTTGGCAAAAGTAGAGAAATCCCTGGCCCGCTCATTACAGGAATCTAAAGGGAAATCGTCTGTAACGGCGTTCTATGCTCGCCAAGTCTAAGGACACCGCCTCCTCTTGGGGCAGACGCATCCCTTCTTTCCCGGGCTCTCCTTCGCCGCCGCCTCTCCAGGACGCCCGAGCCCTCTCCCGCAGGGACCCTCGTCCTCCTCGCACCCTGTCAGCTCGGCTGCTGCTGCCTCGAGCGCGTCCAGCAGCAGGAACGTATCCTCCGCGGGCTCGTACACACTGATGAAGGCGCCGCGGCCCACGTGCCCATGCAGCGGTGTAGGGAAGCTCGGAGCCGCCATGTTTCTTCCCTCTGTCCCACGCGCAGGCGCCGAAGTTCCGCGCGCGCAGGCCCGGCAGCGGGGGGCGGGGCAATGGGGGCGGAGCAGTGGGGGCGGGGCGCCGGAGGCGGAGAGACGAATCCGGGCTTGTTATTTCTAACAGTTTGTCGGTGAATGTTCTTGGAATTTCTAGATAAACAGTTATGTAATCTGCAACTGCTGACATTTGCTTTCTTATTTAGAATATTTAAATTTATTTTATTTTATAGGTTAGCCCTTGATGCAGGGCATCCTCGATTGTTTTTGACTAAGGGGAGTATTTTTTCCTTTATATTCAAAAGTTTTCTTCTATTTCTTGTTTGCAAAGAATTGAAAAAATACACAATGGTTACTAAATTTTACTTTTTAAAGTATCAATTGAACTTTAAGTTTTGAGCTTTAAGATTAAAATTTTCTCTCACTTAATTTTTTACTGTAGTATATTATAAAAATTACCTTCCTAATGTTGAATCACGAAGGCACTTTTTGTAAGTCTCACTCAAGCAAGATGATTTTTCTTTTAATATCCTGCTGAATTTGGAATGCTAATAATCTAGCTCTGTTTTGATTATGCTGTCCTCACCGGATGAGTTAGGACATTGTTTCTGGAACATTTGGTAGAACTCACCCATGAAATTGGATGGATTTAGTGTTTTTTTTGTTGTTGTTTTGTTTTTTTGTTTTTTTTTTTAGTTGATGGTTCTCTGCTGTTTTGGGGCATCTTCTATAGATTGTTAGATTCTTCAGGCATTTGTACTCTTTTTGAGTCAATTTTTGCAATTTTCCAATAAAACATTTTTACATCTAGTTTTTAAAATTTGAGTAACAAAAAACACAGGTAAATACCTAGATACCATTTTTTAAAAACCTGAGTACCTATCACCCAGAATTGATAATTAATACTACTTTCTCATATTTCCTTAAGAGTATTTTATTTTTAAAATACATATTATACTATTACTATTTAATACGTGTGTTAAATGTAATATTTATTATAGCGAATTAGCTCATATTATCATGAAGACTCACAAACCCAAAATCTTCAGAGCCAATTTCCTGTCCTTAAGAGTTTTTAAATATAAGAACTAACATAATACAGATGAAGTGGATGTTTTTTCTGTATTCATCCTCAGTTCCATTTTGTAAACCTCTCTCCAACCTGACTTCTCTCATGAATTTAGCGTGTATCCCTCCAATCAATGTTTTTATGTTTTTACGTTCAGATATTCATGAGCAGTGAATGGTTAGTATGTTTTCAAATTTGTTTCTCTGGTAATAGGTTAGATAAACTGTTCTTCCCATTTCTTTTTCACTGAAAATTCTCACTCTGTGTTTTTATATATATAAAGTTAGTTTACTCCTTTTCATTCTTTTCCATTGCCAGATAGTATTATATGTAAATATAAAATACCCTATCTGGAATGGATAAATATCTATTGGTAAACATTTAATCCTCTCCAGATTTTCATTATTTAAACAACACTGTGGTTAACTTTCTCAAACAAGCTTTTTTTCTGATCCTTTACAAAAGTTTCCTGGGATCCAAGCCAGAATGGATTAGCAGTGTTGTATACACATTTTCAATTTTACTAAACATTTTCAAATTTCCAAATTTCTTTCCAAACTAATTGTGTTTAGTTGGTGAGAGACTTAATATTTGATTTATTATTATTAGACTTATTTTTTAAAATTTATTTTAAACTGAATTGGCCTGGTTGTGATTGAGTTTAGGCATGTGTTCATATGTTCTTCATTTGAATTTCTTCCTTTGTGACCTGTCTGTTCATTTTTGCCCATTTTTTCCTTTTGAATTTTGTTTTTTATTTCCATTAAAGTTGATACATGCATAATTTAATAGGCCAAATAGTGCTACATGAGTTATTATGAAAAGCAGTCCAGTCTAGTACACCAAGATCTAATTTCTCATGTCTCATTCTCCAGAGCTGACCATTTTCAACTTTTATCTGTTTCTTTGGCCATTTATCCATATGTCTATGTACCAAGCTTATAACAATATTACTTCATTCCTCAATTTTCACATTATCTATTGAGTCCTTTGATAGAAGGTAAAATTCACGTGATAGAAGGCAAGACTTTGATTCTCCTGCTGCCTGTAAACAAATGTAATTGCCAGGCCCCCCCTCTTTCTATTCCTAATATGGGTATATTGCGATTGATTGATTGATTGACTGATTGATTTTTACATTATTCTTTCTATAGAAATGGTATCTGGAACTGATTTCTGTATTATACCTGTTACTTCCTTGCACAACTTTTTGCTTTGCCTTAAAGTTAATAATCATCTGTTGTATTACTTTCCTAGGTCTGCCGTAACAAGTTATTTCAAACTAGATGGCTTAAAACAACAGAAATTTATCCTCTCTGTTCTGGAAGTCTGAAATACAGTATCCATGGTAGAAGGGCCATGGCTCCCTATGAAGGCTCTAGGGAAGAATCCTTCCTTGCCTCTTCTACCCTTTGATGGTTGACAGCAATCTCTGGCCTTCCTTGCCTTCCATCAGCAGCATAACTCCTATTTCTGCCCTGGTCTTCATGTGGACTTCTTTCCAGTGTATCTTTTCTTCCTCCAAACCTCTTTCCTTATAAGGACACCAGTCATGGGGTTTGGGGCCCACCTTAATCCAGTATGACCTCATTTTAACTTGATTACATTTGCAAAGACACTTTGCAAATAAAGACACATGTATATGTGTATGTACACATATACATATAATATATATATATATATATATATATATATATATATATATATATATATTTAGGATTTTAGCATATCTTTTTGGGGAATGTGATTGAACCCACAACATCTAGTGATTACTGCTCTTTCATTTGCATAGTTATCTACATATCACAGTTCAGTCTCAAAGTCTTTTCTAGTTGTTTACCCCCTGCCTGACTCTACCCCATCCCAGTACATTTAAAGACATCGAGCATCCCGGTTATTTCTGTCTAATCTATTTAGGCACCAGTATATGTCTCTGGGACTCATCCCTGGGTTCTGTTTCTTCAGCTCTATCCTCAGGCTAGCCCTCGCTCTGATGCCAGGATGGCTGCGTCTTACAGCTTCACTCCATAAATTCAGTGGCAGAGTCTTTTTCAGTCACTTGCACTCAAGTCCTGTCATTTACTCCCTCTTACTGGCCCCAAATGGGTCCTATGCTCATGCTTGAATTGATCCGGTGGCCAGATATATGATGAATTGATTTCCTCACACCTGCCCTGGGGCCTGGGAGGAGGCCTCATCACCACAAGATAGCCAGAATGGTACCCCAAGAGCAAAATCATAGTGCTGATATAAGTGCTGGGCAAAACCACAAAATACATACTACATTAAAGCGTCTCACAGATGGTTGCTGATTACTCTACTCTGGTTTGCTATTGCCTTTTTGTTTTGTTTATAATATCTCTTACTCTGCAGATATTTAAAAATGATTAAATCTGGTTTTTGGGAGGTTTCTGATTTATGTGTTGTGCTAAGAAAATACTCTCTAAGAAAAGTTTATTTTCTGGTTTCAAAGTATAGACGTCGCTATATTAATTGGATCTACCTATTAACTAGGTCGTTAGATTTTTTTTTTTTTAAGATTTTATTTATTCACTTGTCAGAGACACAAGCTGGGGCAGCTGCAGGCAGAGGGAGAAGCAGGCTCCCCACTGAGCAAGGAGTCTGATGCCAGACCCCATCCCAGGACTCTTGGATCATGACCTGAGCCGAAGGCAGATGCTTAACTGACTGAGCCACCAAGGCGGCCCCATGCAAGTCAACATATATAATATATAACATATATTATATACATAAATTTTACTTTTCATCTTGTTTTTCAATATGATCAGTAACTTTCTTTCATCAATTCTGGGAAATCTATTTATATGTTCTTTGTTTTTTCCTTTCCTTCCCTTCTGTTCTTGTCTGCTGGAATTCCAATCATATAGATGGAGACGCACTCGATGTCTTCAGGTCTTTTTGTTTTTATTCTTTCTATCTGCCTTAGATTGGGCTACCTGGAAATGGATGCTGAGATGGAGATCTGCAGATAGAAGGCTTATTGCTTAAGTTCTCTCAGAGACAATATCTGGGAGGGAAAGATAAGGAGAGTAGGGTAAAAGGAGAAGTTGAACTGTGATGCAGTTGTAAGAAAGGCCTCACCTGACTGTTCAGGGAGCTTTGGGGCTGGGATTACCCTTCAGATTGTCCTGAATCCAAGCAAGGGGTTCTGTGTGCCTTTGGGGAAAGGACATTGGAGAGAGACTTGGCTGTGAGCTGCCAGTAGCCAGCAGGTGGCAGAACGTGTGGATCCCTGGCAGGGATCTGGGTGGTGGACCACAGCACCTATAACACCATCTCTGTCATTCTGAGTACAATTTAGGCTTCCAGCGAGCATGAATATATTCTGCCTTTTGGTTTACCTATTAAGATTTTTATTTGGTAAGCATTTTCTTTTTTCTAATCTGGGGTTCTTAAAAACAGTATTTTGTTTCATAGATACAGTATCCATTCTCATCTCTCTGTGGTTTTCAGTTGTACTATTTTCAAAGTTTCCATTTTTTTGCTGCATAAATTCTCCCTTAGTGACGTTCATTAGCTTGTATGTTACTCTTTCATGGTGTTTGCTTACTTTAGAGTTTACTTTCTGCTTGCATGGCTGTCTTTGTAGTTCAGGTTGGGTCAGCCTGCCTGTGAAGGTATTATGTACCCCAGAGTCAGCAACAGGGATTGTAGAAGAGGGGGTGTTTAGCTGCCAGACAGGGCATCCCAGGAAGCTTCTCTTAGGGAAGTAGAGCTCCCTCCTCCTCCTGAGCTTGGCCTCTGGCCCAACATTTACAGCCAATGCTCCAGCATATCTGTGTTTTCTACTCCAGATGGAAGGTCATGAAATCAGCCACTCTGGTGGTTGCTCCATGATTCTTTCCAATAAATTGTGTCCACAGCCTGGACACTTATTCTTCTAGAATTGCCCTGGCTTTCC